GTAAATTTAAATTTTTATGGAAAGCATTAAAAAGTTAATTAAAGACGAATTCTCGGTCTAATGGGGGATTAATGGAATGAATTATACCTTAATGAAGGGGTCGTTTTCAAGAGAGGGCATGATTATAGAAGTGTCAACATCACTATTAAGTCACAGAGATGCCAAATGAAATGGTATAATTGGCAAAAACATATTAATATCTGACCCCTTAATTTCTTTAATTGCAAATCATTGCAAACGGGACAATGATAGCTCCCTTCTTCTATTGTATGGTCTTCTGTCTCATCCAACTCACCCACTGATACTTAATTTTTTTCAAAAAAAAAAAAATTTTCTTTTTGCCTCAAACTTTAATTTTGACCACACCAACCAATTAAAGCTTAAAGCTGCTACAAGTGGACAAATAATTCGGACCCATTATTAATTAAATTCAAGGGCCTCAGTAATTAACAAAATTATATTCAAAACTTTTTTAAGAAGCTTTTTGCATGAGAAGCTAATTATCACATTTTAAGAAAATTACAATAATAATTACTATTATCTCAGATTTTAAATATATGAGAAGCTAGACAAAAAATTTATTTTAGTTTTAAATATAAAATATCAATTTATTTAGTTTTCTAAATTTATAATTTTTTAAAAATATTCTTATTAATTATGCATAGTACATAGATGTCTATCAAGAATTGATTGTAATACACATAATTAGAAAACGTATTCTAGAAAAACTAACGTACATTTGTTATAAATAACTAAATTAACTAATTTTTTTAATTATTGATAGACTAGTTATCTAGTTCTTTTTCTTATATCAAGAATTTGAGAGAGTATAACTTTTTTTTTTGCTGGCAAAAAACAAACATTTTCTTTTGCTCTTTTGTTTTTTTAAATTTAAAGTAATTTACCAAAATGCCCCAAAATTTAGTAGTAACTTCAATCTTCAAAAAGAATTATAAATTTTCAATATGAAATTTTGGATAAATGAAAGGGAAGATATTGTTCACAAAGAAGTTTTTTTTTTTTTTGTTCTTGGGGCATCTCTTAATTAGATAAAGTATTAGCTCTAGATAGGCGGGTTCATTTATGGGCAAACAGCTTAACATGGGATGCTTAAGTGAGTGCATGAAATAGTTGCAGGGAGATTTGGGTGATGATATCTTATAATAATATTATTAATAATAATTGAAAAAAGAGGTGATCTCAGATTGTATACTTCCACATCATCATCACTCTGTGTTGGATCTTATCATAATTTCCCTTCTCCTTTTTCATCATATTCCTCTTTGCAATTATTAATACCCTCACTTCATTTCTGACCAAATTAAATAATAAATTAATTAATAAAAAACCTTGCGTCTGCATTAGCATCTCCAGATTGTATTCATACGTTGATGTCATATTTTTTATTAGTGCAAGCAACTTTTTTAAATTGCCATAAGGTGAACTTCATGTGTCTATGCTCTTCAATTAATTTGTTCATTCAGAGTATTATGCTTTTGCTTACAATTTTATTGATTTTTCAAATTGCTCCCTGCAATTTATAACTTTTCTCTATTATTTTTTATTAAACTATATTATTGACGAAAAATTATTTCGTGGTCATTTTTTTAATATTAATTCACTTTTTAGTCTAACTAATGCACGTGGAAAAAAGCTAAATAAAAACCAACCAAAGGATTGGTTCATTTATGCGTTGTAAACCATAATACGTTTTATTTTCACTATTATTAGACTAATCTTTCAAGATTATCACTACTTCTGATTCTAATTATAAGACCTCGTTTGTTGTTTGTTGTCACAAACGAGATCTTATAATTAGAATCAGAGGTGATAATTTGGACTTCGAGAGTGAGAGAGAGAATAATGAGGAGACAAAAATGTCGTGTTTGTCATATATAGAGAGAGAAAGATGGGACAAGAAAAGATGAGGCAGAGAGGAAGAGTTAAAAATGAGGCTGGAAGAAAGGTAGGAAGCCCCATGTGCTCCATCTTCTCATCAATATATGAGTATTCATCAGTCAATCTCTCATTATTTTTTATGGTCAACATTGTCTTAAACCCTATATTTCACTTATTAATTAAAACCAAACTGTCTATTTTTCTAAAAAATATGTGTATGGGGAGGGAGGGAGGGAGAGAGAGAGAGAGAGAGAGAGAGAATTGATCCATGTAATTGTGAGACATGAACTCCATACAGGACCACCTCATCTTATCACTAATTTTTGGAATGCATACATAGGAAGGAGTATTAATTCTCTATTGCAACGACTAAGATAGGCAAACACATGGAGTTTCAACTAACATTTAGAACTTATTTACCCTCTGTATTTATCTCTTTTTTTGAAATATCGTGCTGTTGTAATCAAGAAATAGAACCAAATAGATGTTCCACTTTATGTTTCATCATGTTAATTGGCTGTACCAATTAAGCTTCATTGTTTCTGCAATCTTGGATGAAGGTTTAATGCTTACTTTGAATAATGACATTTTTATTGTATTGTATTGTATTATATTATTACTCAATTAATCTTAATCATATTACTTGTAAAGGCATTTCTTTGGTGGTCAACATGAATGAATTCACACTGTTTTTGTTAAGTATTAAATGAATAAGAATATATACTTTTCATTTACGAAATGGAAATAAGTACTAAAGTGAATGGAATGGATAATGAATTAATAATAATGGAAGGCAGTGATGGCGAGACCAGGGATAATAACGGGACAAAGTAATGATATCTGGTTGGGAGTTGAGATCCCTTTGATTTATTCAAGGGTAGAATTGTTATTTTTAACATAAAATCATATTTTAAAATTTAAAATTTATTTATTTTACTCTATTTTGTACATCAAGATGAACTCTTAAAAGTGAGACCAGTGATGGGTATGGATATAGGACGTGCTGTTCTTTTTGGAACTTCCATCAAAAGTGAGTTTACTTTCAAAAGATCTTTTTGGGCCAAAGTGTTAAAAAATTTAAAAATCCAAGGTTCAATATTTTTTTGGTTTTTTTAATTTAGGCCGAATATAAGGCTTGGTTAAATCATGTTCAATTTAAGCCCAATTCAAAAGTATTCTTTTGAGGCCAACATGGGTAAACTGATGACAATTAACCAGTATAAACATTTTTAGACCACAATATAAATATTAATGATAATATCCAAAATAAACTAAACATATTTTTCCATCCCATGACTTGCTCTTATTGTGAGATGCATCAAGCTTTACAATACCACACTAGGAAGAAATAGAGTCTCCTTTACCTTTCTTTTAATAGAAAAATTCTTAAAATTTAAAGTAAAATTTATAGTAGAATGGAATTGCCAAAAAAGGGGAATAAAAAAGTTGTTATTGGGTGATGATCATAAGGAGCTCTTTCGGTCTTTAATATAAAAGCTAACTTGAGAATTGATATTAATTATATATGTATAACCTAATTTCCATTTTTTTAATTTTTTTTCCGAAGTAACCTTATTGATATTCTCTCAACAATTATTAAATAGGAGACGGAAGGAGAAAATTAAGAAAATAACAACAACGTTTTTTAAAAAAATCATATTATCTAATTTAACTAATATTCTTAACGTTTTTTAAAAAATCATATTATCTAATTTAACTAATATTCTTAACATATTTAAATTAATCAATTACGTTTTATATTAAAAATTCGAGGAGTAATAGATATTTCTTTCATTCTTGTGCTTGTCAAAAGGAGTCAGCATAAACTCATTTTCCAATTCATGGTTTCCCTTAGGTATCAACGGGGGTAACGAAAACACTTAAAAGGGGCAACCCATATATTCGTTATCAGGTTACAGAAATGGATTGTGGAAACATGTTTTCAATAAATGATCCACATTCACTATTTTCTTATAAAAAATCTTGATTGATAGCAAGTTACCTAACTTTTGTCCTTAGCAAAGTTCTCGTCAAGAGTTCAAGGATACAAACACTGAAGAATAAAAGAACTGTGTCTGTGAATGTAACCAAAATTAACGAGAATTAACACATACACAAACAAGAAAATCTGCAATCTGCAGTGTTAGACTTTGATTTTGCAGACTGTAGGGTGTAGGACTAAGACCATCGAATTGAAAGCACAAGTCATTTTGAATGCAGCAAAACAGGCAAAACGAATGAATAAATGAACGTTAGTTTTAACAGGCGGCAAACTGATATCAAGTTGAAAACATTGCTATGCTGAGAATGAAATAATGAAAGAGGCAAAGAATAGTTTATGAAGAAATTTTAGTTCTCTGATGAATTCATAACGATTAAGTTTCAATTCAAGTACACAATGCAACAGTACAGGACTGCCAGAAAAAGCTATGTCCTGGGAGAATCCTGCAGCCCTACTCTTATCATTTCAAGTAAATGTCACTGTTATTGATTTGCTTTCTTGTGCTTGTGGTTTCCTTCGGGTAGAAAATGCCATGTAAATCACACAGCATAACATGAGTTTAAGATTAGAGATGCATCACTTTCCTGCAGAATGTAATGAGCCAACCTAACTTGAGAAATATCTACCAACAAAGTCAATTTAAGGCAGACCCTATAAGGGTAACAAGAAGGTGGATTAAAAACACGTACATATCAAAAAGAGCACTGCAAAGGAAATTTATATCCTTGTCATATGCTATGCTGTCATCAAGAGTTGCAACAGGAACATTATCATCAAAATTTAATACATAACAAATCTTAGAACCTATCAATACTTTATATTCCAGACACTTGATCTATTGCTAACATGTACACACCCGGGCACATACAGGCAGATATGGATGACTTATTTTCAGGAGGTGTTCAGGAGGTGCTAAACGGATAGGCAACTTCTAAAAGCAAAGGCTTAGTAATCAAGACCCCCGTTTATTCCACTCCATCGTTCCATATCAATATCTTGAGGTGAAGGTGTACTTTCATGGAATTTTCTTTTATCATGAATCATCTTAAGAACAAAGTGCGAAGATCTCAATTCTATGCAAAACGTGAACTCTATTCAATGTCAAACAAGTATCATATTACTAATACTTTAAGATGAGATCAACAACGGCACATTATCAGGGCATCTTGCAGTTGCAACTGCACAAGAGTACTAGTGTCTTCAGTAACAAAAACTTGACACACTCATGAAGGTCTCTTCCTTGTTCTTTTGAGGAAAAACAACACAAAAAAAAAGTTGTTTCCTTTTGTGATGCCTGGTATAAATATACAAAATTTACAACCACATCAGTCTTAGATACAAGATTCTATCGTCATCAAACTATTTTGGGCAAATCCCCTCACAGAAAGCTTTTATGATTATCCTAACTATGAAATGCATCACCCACCTCAACAACACAGATAAAAGGTAACGACAAGAATGTAACAAGAAAGAACTCACAGAAGATATGTCCGTATGATTGATTACTTATCTTGAGATGCAGATGACATCAAGTTATCCACTGAGTCCACAACTTGCCCCTCAGTATTTGATATGTTATTCGTGTTACCTTGACAATTCACGGCTAGAGGTTCACAGTTCCCTTCACATGGAATCATAAAATTTTCATTTCCACAGGTACCAACCTGAGATGATAATCCTGCCTGTTGATCAAAGCATTGGAAATTGGTCTGACACTGAAGATCAGTCCCGCGGTCCGTGGGCAGCATGTTGGTGTGCCCCTCTTTAAAGATTGAGGAAGAGCCATTACACTGCTTTTTATAGGGGAAAACACCCAACTCATTGTCAATTTTTCCCTTGAGGTCAACCAGGATGCTCCTCAACCTCAAAACCTCAGCTTCAAGATGTGCATGCCCTTGTAGCTTCCTAACTAATTGCTGATTCTGCAGACGCAATTTCTTAACTTCCTCCTCTAGGTAAGCTGTCTGTGCCTTCTTCTTCTCCCTATACTTTCGAACAGCTTCTCTATTACCCGAAGGCCGTTTTCGTTTTGTGTTGGTATGCTCCTTATCATCTGTATGATCATCTTCTTCAGACGCAATGACTTGGGTGTGTGTGTGGTAACATGTGTGGGTATGTGCTGCATCTGGGCCAGGAGGGTTGCAAGTGTGAGTATGGGTGCATGTTCTGGTGTTCCTCAAGAATTCATTGATTTTATTCATGGATGTTGAAGACTGAACATTGCTCGACGATTCTGGATTCGACAATAAGAAACCATCTGAAAGCTCAACATCTCCATCATTCATATTTCCTTTATTTGCTTTGAATGATATTGCAGTGGCTTATCGACAGAAGAGAATATCTGCAACATCCAATTTTAAAGTCAAGGCAAATGCAAAGAACTCGCAAATGATTTTGACTTTACGTTACTGGCACCAACTCAGATAAAGCAGAAACCGATTATTGTCTCCAGTTGATAATATTCAAGAATATATTCAAAGAAGCATTTCTGTAGTCCTAAAGAACATATGAAACGAAGCCACTATCTCTAAAAGATACGTGAAACATCAAGCCCAATCTAGATATTCATGGCCTAAGATTTCAGAATCAGCTTAATTTAACAATTTATAGATTACCCAGATGGATTCTCCCCACTATAATCCAGAATCGAGAAGAAAGGCTAATTTTTGATATTGAAATAACAACTGGGGTTAGAGAATCCGGGCAAAAATTGGGACGCGAAGACAGACAGATTATGAACACCAGAAATTAGAATCGGAATCAGAGAGAAGAGCCAAAAGAAAGGTACAAATCGTTGAATAAGCTATAAATTTGAAGCACAACCATATACAGTAATCATGGTAACTGCGAAAATCTGCTACTTTAGGCCCAAAGAAGCACCTCCAGAAATCTGAATCGCTATGCCTCTGTTCCTGGATCCTGGATTCTTCTATACTTCTCGTCAAAGAAGCGTAACTTGTTGATTGAGATTTTCCGCTAAACTACAGTTGGGCTGACCCCGAAGCTCTATGAAAGATATTTTAATTAAATTATTATGGCAATTGCTAATTAAAGTTTTTCCTTTTTCTATCAGAGGGGGTGGCACTTAAGAACTGGATTCCATAATTGGATACTAAAAGATTCCATATCTAAGAACACGCATAACAACAAATTTGTGTGTGTCCCAATTCGTTTGGATAAAACGTGTTTGCCCCGTATAAGGACGTTTGGATAGGATTAAAATCAAAATTTTAAAAATATTTTTACAGTATACAAAATAAATATATAAAAAAGTTTATGTGCTTTCAAACACCCTTTTAATCGATTGCATTAGAAGAATTAAATTTTTCTTTGTTCCGTTCAATGTCAATATATCTGTGAAAAACACTAAGGCAAGTCATCAATAGTTATTTATACTCCTCCTCTCTTCTCTCGTCCACAGCATATAATCTTTTTTTCTTTTAAAAAAAAAACGTTTTTGGGGGCATTTTTACACTTTCTTCTTTCTTGGACCTCCTCTATTTATGGGCAAGGATAATGCGGGGCACACTACTGCTTGTCTGATGTAGGGAACTTTAAAACTTAAAAGTGGCCTGTTGTTGTTTCTGTCTATTTAATACCCACGCCACTGGGCATTGGCCAGGCATGACAAGTACGTTTGGCTTTTCTAAGTTTCATTTGTCTTGGTGCAACTGAATTTATGAACTTTAATTTCATGAAACTCAATCATTAGTTTTTATATTTTTAAAAAATTATATATTTTATGAGGTGTTAAAATTTTAAATGGTTACAATTATAGAGATTGAACTGCAATAAGTTAAATGATTGAATAATACAAAATCAAAACTTAACAACCACAATGTAAAAATCAAAACATTAATTTTTCTTTATAATTTTGTTTTGTGCTATGGCACAATACCCATGCTTCTCAATCAATGTTCCCCTTTAAGATTGAGGGGGTGTTTGGATAAGATCAAAACCATGGTTTCAGAAGTGCTTTTACGGTATACGAAGCAAATATGTGGAGGAGATTGTCTCGATTTGCGGAAAAGTGCTTCTGAAAAGTGATTTTAAGGGCATCCAAACACTCCCTGAATGAAAGAAACCTGAAAAATAAGTTTTTTTTTTTTTAAAATTATAGTACTTATTATGAAATGGAGGGAGTAAATGTTTTTTCTTTACAAAGTACAAGGGTTTTTTTTTTTTTAACTCTTATCATTAGATGAGATGTTGAGTATTGTTAACTCACAAAATCATTCAATGTCATTATAATATTTAATATAAAATATAAATCACTTCTTAAAAATGAATTGTAAAATTTGTGAGAAAAAGTGTGATTATAAAAAAATTATGACAAGTGAACAAGTAGAGATTTTCTTTGGAAAAATTCTTAAAAAATATCTCTTGACTTTCAAAGCTCTAAATTAGGCTTATTTATTATATTTTGATAGTTTAACAGCAATTAACTACTTTTGAAAAGTAAATGATAATTTTTGTAAGAATTATTATTTGAGATTTTGAAATTAAAGAGACTTTTTGTTTTGGGGGGCTATTTTTCTTCAGTGCAAATTTCCAGTAATTTTTCCTAATTTTTAGCAGAGCAATGGAGGCGCCAAGCCGTCAACGAACAAGGTGAAGGACAATAACGACAACAATTTTCCCATTCTTTGAAACGGGAAAGCTAACCCGTTTAAGGTAGTTGATCTGTATGATGAGAGCGTTGTCTAATACATTTCGCTCTGTTAAGCACCCAATTGCTAACCCTAATTCGCCCAAATTTTCTTCCCCATCTTCATCATCCTCATCATCTCCTGTTTCGAATTCACTTCCCGAATTGAGGCTTAATTCCAAATCATGCTCTTGGTGTGTTTATCTCATCATTGCCACTAGTCCCCCCATCAAAACCTATGTTGGTGTCACGACTAATTTCACTCGCCGGTATGTTAAATATCAAGTCTTCTGATTTCATGATGTTTTGAGCTATTTGACAAATGATTTTTGTGCTCAATGTGCATTTAGCTTGGATTTCTCGAGGTTCAATGGGCATAGTATTATTTTCATAAATTATAATTATATTAGGCTTCATGAATTCAGCACACAAGTATTGTTGAGTATATCTGAGATGAAATGGATCGTGCTTGAATGAGCACGTTTTGTCTACCTGGTAATCAGATTATTTCTGGGGCTTAGAATCCGTATGAAGAATTTAGGTGTGAAGTGCTGATTCCATGAAATAACTATTTTTGGTTTGAGTTGGCAAAGAATGGTTGTAGAAGAATACAATGCCTTTTTGATGGAACTTGTAACTTTTATAGGATATATGTGGCATGCTTAAAAATTATGTTTCGTTATGGAAACAGCAGTTTTTGACACCAATAAAGCTGTCTGTTTCAATTGGGAATTGGGGATAGACATACATGCACATCTCCTTATCAATATTTAAAATTTTGTACATTTGGAAGTTGTATATACTTGCTGTTTTCGAGTAGTTGGTTTGATTTTAATTTTAACGATTCATCCAAAAATTAAGAAACTTCTATGGTTATTTGTGGTCTTGATTACTTGGAGCAATTCTTACTACTTAGTACTTACTAGCTGCTCTAAATTTTATTTTTACAAGTTCATTTTTTTTTCCTAGCTCGTGCCAACCAGTGTGATACTGATATTTCTGAACCTTTTGCCAAGTTTTATAGTAGCTCCTATGTTCTTGGAAACAGCCACCAAATACAGTGTATTTTCCCCATGCTTGTTGACATAGTTAATTACTTAATATATCAGGTTGTTTGTTGCTGAAAAATATGGATGGAGCTTTGTGTGCTGAAGAAAATTCTTCATCTAGAACAAGTATCCCTAGAGATTATAAAGCCAAGATCTAGCCAGGATCCATTGTTCACCTATGTTACAATCAACCATAACCACTTACTTTAGCAAATGGACTGAGAATGATCGAGAGCCTACATTTTGCCAGTGAGATCCCTGGAAGTGACTCGTTTGCACTGTTTAATAACATTGCAGGAGAGCAAAGAATACAGGACTGGCAAATTTAGTTAGCACTGAAGAGTGCAGGGCATATAATCTGCAATGCTGCCCTGTTGCCAATGGAACCTGAGTACCAAGATTAGCTAATGTCATTAGTAAGTTTGCACTGGATTATTAACATTGCATGTCAAGTGAAAACTGTTTGTTAAGTCATGCATAGGGATTGTCAAAAATGCAAAATTTAGGGAACAGAAGCAGATGCAAAATGGTACAGAGGATAAAAAGTTCATTAATACTGAAAGGGGATGAGCAAACAAGAGCAACGACTTAATGCTGAAGGAAGACTAGTTCAGAATCATCAAAGATGCTTTTGGTGCATAATACATAATTATGATGGAATTGAGGTTCTCTCTTTCTGCTTCTCACCAGAAGTGGAAGCTTTGAATTGTTAGACTGACTTTTGCTTCTGTGATTAGGATATCGAATTTGGTATCTACATAAGAATATACTTATAGGGTGCAAAAGCTATCCTTTTACATGTTACTCCAGCTGTCAGCAAGTCAATTCAGCTGATTAAAAGTGAATTAATACTTTCCTGTATGGCATTGATAGACTGCTGTTTTTTTTTTTTAATTAATTTTTTAAAAATTGTGTAGCTAATGCCTAATTCTGCTTTCTTCTCAATTTTTAGAATTTTGAAATGACATCACAGTTCAGCTCAAAAAAAAAGAAATGACATCAAAGTATGTCATGGATTTCAAGAAATATATATTTGATGTACATATCTTAATGGATGTAGTTTGAAGCAACATAATGGTGAAATCAAAGGGGGTGCAAAAGCATCCCGTGCCGGCAGGCCATGGATCTGTGCATGCATCATTTGTGGTTTTACAGACAGAAGTGAAGGTATATATCTAGTTTGCTTTTTCATTTTTATTTGCATCTAATTACGTGTTCTGGAGAAAAGAAAATGTTGATTTGCTGCTTACCTTGAAGCTTATATAAAAACTTTCGATGATCAAGAATGCTGATAGCTATAGTAGTTATTTATTAATTGTAAAATCCATACTTTCTTAATATTCTTGAGAAGAATGAGATGAATGCTATTCAGTTGCTTTTAGCATGTTCATCCCATTGGCTTTTGTCACTGATCAACGTGAACTCCAGTTGTCACATTTGAAAACGAAAGCGGAGAGCAAATTTGTCTGATTTTACTTTTCTATTCTTTCGGTGTTAAAATTCTAATCATGCAATATGTTTGGTGAACTTCAATGATGTGGTAACTTTGCTGAAGGGAATATTTCCGAGTTTCATACATCATGCAACCCTCAATCTTATGCTAGATGATAACCATGAATTGATTCATTTTGAGCTTTGACAAAAATTTCCAGTGACCTAATATTTTTAGTCATGTTGATAGCTCTATTAATCATCTAAACATTCATTTGTAATGAAGTTCTTTTAATATTGCTTTTAATTGTTCGCATTTCCAGTAAAAGCATAACGAGTAGATGTTTTTAGACGCTCTGCATCACATGCTTAAATGTTTCAGAAAATTCCTTAATGCATGCTAGTATATTCATCGAAAACCGGATAATACCTTGGAAAATTTCAACTGAGTCAGGTCCTTTCTGAAATCTCTAGTCCCGCTATTTTGAGATATTCAAACTCAAGATATTATTGTCGTATTTTATGTTTAACCTCTGTATAATTTGCAGCATTCAATATAATTCTTTTTTTTTTTTTTGGTTGAATATTTTGTTGTTTCCCCCATTTTAGCTTGTATGTTTGAATCAAAATGGAAAGCTTCGTCAAGAAAAGTTCCCCGGAAAAGGGAAAATAAGCAGATTGATGATTCATCACTTGCATTGCTGCAGCAGAGACAGGAAGCTCTAAACAGAGTGAAAAGTTCACTTGATTGCAATCACTTGCAAATCAACTGGCATTTGAATCCATTGTGATTCACCGTCCAAGATTTTTAGTGACGTGCCTAACGAATTATTTAATTGCAATCTGTCCAAATGCCAAGGACAAAGGACACGACTCCAAATATTTCAAGTGCAGTTGTACCATATAAATTAAAGGGTTCTTGTAAACTAAAAATAAATATCATTTTCCCTCATTTTTATCTTGCTCCCATTTTCTTTTTTTCCGACTTCTCTCCTTACCCATAGAGCACTGTAAAGAGACATGTTACTGCTAAAGAGACAGGAAGATCGTGAATTTACAACAAGAAGTCTTATTCCACTCCTAGCTGGATTATCCTCTCATGTCATTGTATTATGTCACTAACCAACCTTTTAGACAAAACACCCTACCCTAATTTTCAAAAAGGCATAAAGTGAAAAGACTGGATGCATTGATTATGACTTCATATGCGGCCTAACTAACCTCTAATCCTCCTTAGCTTCAAAACAAGATCTATTCGTTCCATTCCTCCGGTGGGGCATCACAGCTGCAAGCGACATGCCATGCAGATCAGCACGCTTGCTTCAAGTAGTGCCGGCTTTCACTTCAGTGTCCACTGACTTGAAAGGAATGCCAAGTCCCTTTCATCAATTGAACATAGGTCGGGAAGCATTTGAAAATAAGAGGTAATGATTGTGGTTAAGATTAAAAAAATATGTTAAAAAGGTATTTAGTATGAGCGATTACTTGCTACTTAGAATTGGGTTAATCTATATATATGGGATTTGAGAGTACTATGGGGCTAATCTAATTTAGATGGAGAGGTTAGTTTGCCTGCCAACATTCACTGTCCAATGAAACCAAGTATAAATTTTGGTTAAATGATGATGATATCCTCCCCCGTTATCGATAGAAAAGCTACTTAATTAATTCAATTAATTTGTTTATATCATTAGTTAATTATAATAAATATTTTTTTAAAATATTTTATATGTTAGTTAAATTAATTTGACAAAAAATAATAAATATATTCCCTCTTTCTTTCTTTTTTTAATAAGGAACAATCTCTCTTATAGTTTTGTATCTGAATATAAGAAGTAAATCCTTTTTGCCTGAAATTGTAAACTTATCTTTTCATTTTTTTCCCCCCATTAAATATATGCAATTATTATATCTCTGCAATAAATTTTTATTCATTATGTCTCATATCCTTTTTTATGAATAAGTTTATAATTGGAATATTTATCAATTAATATTTTAAATAATGTGATTTTAGTAATTGGCGACAATGTGAACTGATCGTTTATAATAAGAATAAAGTATAACCCCCTATTCAATTTACTTGTCGATGTCTACCTGTAATTACCTTTTTTGGTTCAAATATAAATTTTTTTTGGCCAATGTTAAGAATTTTTTCCTAACACATGCACTTGCTATATTTTTTTTACTGAAGGTTGAAATTCACAACCTCACATTTAAAAAAATTTCAAAAAAATTTGGTATCAGTACATTAAGAACCCCAGGAAATTTTTTTAAAGTAAAAATTAACATTGTTACATAATAAGTTTATATTAATCAGAAAATTAATTTTATTACTATAAGGGAAAATTTTGTTTCTAATCAAAATGCTTCCAACAGCGAACCGAACTAGGCTTGATGGCTCGATGCGTCAAAGCGGGAACGCGTGACTCGCATTCTTAACAAACGCGCCCAAGGCTGCGTACTCCTCAAACGCCCTTACGTCCACCTTACACCGTACAAACTCCGGCAAGAACAGCCAGAAGCTGGTGGACATAACAAAAACTACGGTCAACGGTCCCGACACTGCCCTCGGCAACAGCCACCTTCCGTTCACCGCCTTTTTTAGCGCAATCTCCACCATCAAACATAATCCATGGAGGAGGAAGAACCACGTCATCCTGAACGACGGCTTAACCCGTCCTATGTAATACATCATCAACTCGTGCATCACCCCCGAAACCACAAACGTCCCCATGACCGCCGGAAGGGGCGCCCACTTTGGGCCGGCGATACGCGTGACGACGTCGAGGGTAGGTTCGTATACGGTCGGTCGCAGGATCCTTGTCACCATAAGGTTCCATCTCCTACTCCAGAAGTCTTGTAGAGACGATGAGAGAAATGGATTGTTGAACTGTGGCTCCAGCTCCATACCCAGAACAGCTCGAGCCATGGCTGCGGCTACGGCTAGGCTGAGCTCAAGTAGAAAGTAAATGTGCAAAGCGTATAAACCCAAGATGAAATTTGGGTGAATGAGATCACTGTAGTCATAGATCTTCACCATAATGGCCACAAGTATAGCCTTTATGGGATACTGTAAAGGGGTTATATACGATTTTCTGGCGATTGTGGAATTAGGGTATGTTTCAGTCTGGGATATTTTGGGTTCCTGGGGATTAAGGTTTTCGTTTATCCCACTTTGTTTGGATAGTTTCGAGGCCAATTTTGATCGGATCTGGGAAATTTTGGATTTGTGTTGTGGAATCATCTTGATGGGAAGGCAAGCGAGAAGCACGAAACGTCCCAAGGAGATGAAGGATGAGTGGTCGGAGCTGAGAGGACCTTTAGCAAAAGCGAAGAGCAAGAGTTTGAAGTTGGCGAGCCAGGAGACGAAGAAACCAGTGATGCCTGAGAAATGTACAGAGGAAATGCTGAGAGGGAGGAAGAAGAAGAGGAAGATGATGGGAAGCACGCAGATAAGTCTTATTGAGCCTTTTGGGACAATTTTGCCGATCCAATAGCAATAGCACAAAGATATGCATACTGTGAACCATACCTTACCAAGTTTCATGATCTCATTCACACCATCCATAATTGCTCAAAGCAATACAATGTCTAGTTTGTCTGATCTTAGGATGAATGATCTCTGCAATTTTTTATATTGATAGGGGGAGGAATACTGAGATAGAATATTATAATGAAATGAAAGGCAGAGGGACTTGCATTTTTTCCAACCACTTGTTAGACTTTTGATGTAGACTTGACTGTGTTAATTGGAAAGACCACATTAAAAGTTGCAGACCACCCGGTGGATTTGACCAAAATCCACCCACCCACCCATCCAAACAAAGAATTGATCAAAGTACTTCCTGCAAATGCTGAGAAAGTTCTAGTTTTGCGTTGAGGAGAAAATTTCAGTCCTGACAAATTTTGCAAGAATATCTTGGCCCTTCAAGAAAGGGAATGAAAAGAGTATGAACACACAAGGATCAAGTTCTTTTTACTGTTTCCAGATTCCTCCGTAGATATATAGGTGAAGGCCATTGACAGAGATCATAGAGTTTCAATATGGATAGATTATTCTGATTCCCTTGATGCATTATTCAACAGGTTTGTGATGAAACTATGGCGGCAAACACAGTTCCTTCCTTCCTTGCAGTGATCTCTGTCTGCTCTGGTTATTTCTGGAAAAGGATCAGCATCTGTGGCTCAGAGCATGGTAAAAATAAGGGAGGGGAAGAAAGCGTTGGAATGAAACTTCCTGTTAGTGTGTTGTGTTTGTGTAAAAAGTGGAGGAGAATGACTGAATTCTCCCCCCTCCCCTTTTGGGTTATTGATTTTCTAACATTATCCACCCTATATTTAGTTTTTTCCCCTTTTTGGTTTGGGGTGATTCCTATATTCAATTCTTCCCCCAAAAATTGCATTATCAATAAATGAGCTCATGGCTTCGGTAATTTTCAATATAATTCAAATATACATGTTATCTCTTGGATGTAGATTCATGCATTGGGAAATAACTTTTGCCTTCTTCTCCGATTATTGTTTTTTTGGGGCCAATCCAACGGACCCATTATCTTTTTGGGGATCATTTTCTAATTATGGGCCTAAATATAAGATCCACTATATGTCTATAACTGTTTTTTCAGATTCTCTGTGTCAAGTATCAGACCATGGTTTCCCCAATTTTTGCATCGGATAGGTCTAATACTTCAGATGAGCAGTAAAAAACAAGAGTTTGATAATATGGGCCGGGCTGGCCCGGTCTTTATGGGCTGGAAATTAGGGATGTTAGATGCCAGTTTGCTCTTATTTTGGTTTTAGTCTCCTAAATTTCAAACTATAGGTTTTGGTTCATCAAGTTTCTTTTTATTAATAAAGCCCTATAATTGAATTATAATTAAATAAAAATTTGAACCATTTTGTCCTTTGAGGGATCAAAACCTGTGGTTTGAAATTTGATAGATCAAAACTAAAATGAAAACAAACTTAAAGAATCAAAATTTGTATTAACCCAATTTTATATAATGCATGGGAAGTACTTTTATGAAATATAAAGTTCATAAAGAGATATATTATCCATAAAATGTGAACAAAGTAATGCATGTAAAAGTATGTCTAACTTTTTTCAATGGTTTTTTTTTTAAAAATCATTATGAAAGCAAGATTCCCCAATCTGGAGTGCAATACAAAGAATTGAGAGTGACTGGTCATAGTTCTTACACATCCCACATTCATTCTTATCTTCTTCAAACAAACATGAGTGGATCTCAAGAATTACATCTTCCAACAAACATACCAAACTCAAAGGGGCAAAAAGTAGAATTAGTGCAAGGCTGTTGATAATAAAATTTAGAAAAAAAATTTAATAACTACGCTCCTTAAATGAATATAAACATTTTCACAGAAAAATGAGGTATTTGGACAAATTCAAGAAAAATCAGGTATTTGGACAAATTCGAGGCAACCACACAAAAATACAAGGGGCCAGCAACAGACAGAATGGGTTGGCTCAAAGGTGGCGGGCCCTCAGTCAAGGTGAAAAGAGGTGGCGGGCCCAAAATGGGCAAATTTCCAGCAAGCTTGGGGGAGGTGGTCCGGTTGACTTACACTTTTAACATATTTCATACAGATAAAAAAAACTTAAAATATACTAACTCTTAATTAAAATATAATAGCTTTTTAAATTTACTCCTATTTAATATACAAACCTTTCAAAAAAAAAAAGCTATCTAATAAAGGATGAAATAGTACATTTATGTTAAAAATTTAATAAAGTAACTTATAAATAGAATAAAAAAAATCCTCTCTCTATCCTATAAATAGGATTAGAGAAGTATTGGATTACATCTATCTAATTTGAAATTTTCAAAACAAGAAAGAATTCCATTTTTTTACATAAAAATTTATAATTATTGTTATAAAGTTGAGAATTTAGGCAATAAATTGATATGTAATTAGATATTTCAGTTGAGGTAAATTTTTGAGAACACTGTGTTGTGTGTTGACTTAATGATCCCAATCAGGTATGAGGTAAGGAAGGTTTTTTTTTTAAAAATAAATTGGTCTTTTGAATTTATGTAGGAACTTTTTATCTTATATTCCAGGACAAGGTGGATTACATATCTTTATCTATTGTAGTATTATATAGAAGTCAATAAGCCACATTAACTATTGCTTATGAATATTTGTGATAGATTTTATTCTTATTTAAAAAATATTTTTCTTTAATATTCTTCTCCACTTTCTGCAAATCTTAATGAAGATCTCATCAACATGACAATAGATGTTTTTGGAAACATTTTTTTTTGTCTGAAGGCAACATTAACAAAAAAGACAATAACAGAAAAAGAAACTAGAATTTTGTAAATGCTAAACAAAGAATGGTAACAAAAATTTGTTGTCATTTGTAAATTCAGACTTGTCAATACAAAATAAAGTTGTGTTACCAAATATGATTTGAAATTTGTAATTTTCAGCTTCTTTTTCTATCATTCTCCTGTACATCTCTAAAATAAGAATGCTTTTAGAGTTGATTTTTATATTTTAATTTGATTTTAAAAAGTAGTATGGTAAAAGCGTTTAGTGTGCGTGTGTATAAGTAACAAATTTTTTTTTTAAAATGAAGAATGAAATGAAAAGCAGGCAAAGAATATGATTCTCCTCCTCATTCTCAAGCCACGATTTCTACTTATAATTTAATAAAATTTGAAGATCAATTTTTTTTTGTGGAAATGTAAGGAAAGAGAATGTCCAGTAAAAGCTTAATACTCAAAGTTTCAGGAATTTAAAAAATTGGTTAAGTGTGTTATTTATAAAAAGTATATATTAGTTTTTAAAAATATTCTATTTAGTCATTTGTATTAGAAATACCTATGGATAGAAATCTCTTAATAAGTGAAACTAATTAGGATAATTTGGAAAGAATATTATAAATTAAAGGGACAAAATAGATTAAATTCTTACATTTATAATTAGTACAAACTTCTTGATAACTCTTACGTTTAGGTTTGAAGGAAGTACTTATAAAAATGGGTTATTAATTTATTTTCCTTATAATATTTTTAACAGATTATTTTCATTAAAACATACATTTCGAAATAATGTAACAATAAAAAATAGATTTATGGTCTAAAAACTTGAAAGATTAATTTCTCCAAAGCAAGGTTATAAAAAAGGAGTAAAAGCAAAAGAGAAGGACATAGAACAGAAGAAGAAAAGTAATAAAATCAAATTAAACTTTGACCAGAATTAGAAAGACATTTATCCAGACATTACGCAAGACAGTACAAAGCTTCAATCTTTTTTTTTTTTTTTCCTTGTTTATTTTTTAGTTTATGTATTATGGTCTTCATCCTCGTGATTTCTTCGTAGACGTGGGCTCAGGGAACTCCCTCCCCCCCTCTCTCTCATCTCCTTCTTCTTCCTCAGACACCCCCCCCCCCCCCCATAAATGCCCTTCACCGTCCCCTCATCTCCATCTTCATCTGATTCACGTCCTTCCCACCTTCTCTTCGCTTTCACTTCTGTTTCCTCGAACCGCTGACCAGTAATCTTTGATGGGGTACTTCTCCTGCAGAGCTGAATCTGCCGTTTCAACCTCCAATTCTGTATCCCCATCTTCCTCTTCTAAACCCTCCTCTGCTCAAAAACCTGAGAAGCCCATCAAGATCCAACAGTTTGATTACAGTGACCTCGAGGCCGCCACTAATGGCTTCTCCGACCGAAAGCTCCTAGGCAAAGGTAGCCATGGCTATGTCTACAAAGCCGTTCTTCGAGGCCGTCCTGTCGCCGTCAAGAGGCCTTCGAGAGCTTACGGTGCTGTTCTTCGACGACCCAGTTCGTTCTCTTCTTCGTCGGCGCCGGAGATTACGAACGAGGTGGACAACGAGATCGACATCTTGTCGAAAATTCAGAGCCCGAGATTGGTCAATTTGGTGGGTTTCTCGAACGATTCGAAAGATAGACTTCTGGTTGTGGAGTTTATGAGCAATGGAACCCTCTACGATGTTCTTCATTCTTCTGCACGACCACCCAATTGGGGTCGGAGAATTCGATTGGCTCTGCAAACTGCTAAGGCCATCGATACCCTCCATTCCTCAACCCCACCTGTAATTCACCGAGACATCAAATCTGCAAATGTTCTAATAGATCGCAACTTCAATGCTCGATTGGGAGATTTTGGATTAGCCCTGCGAGGCCATGAAGATGATTATAGACTCAGGTCTACTCCTCCAGCAGGTACTATGGGGTATCTTGATCCTTGTTATGTGACCCCAGATAACTTGAGTACAAAAACTGATGTGTTTAGTTTTGGGATTTTGCTGTTAGAGATAATTAGTGGTAGAAAAGCCATTGATATTACATACTCACCACCTTCCATTGTGGATTGGGCCATTCCTCTCATAAAGAAAGGAAAGTTATTGGCTGTTTATGATCCAAGGATATCACCTCCTAAGGATCCAGTTGTTAGGAAGCAATTGGCTGTGATTGCTGCAAAATGTGTAAGGTCTTGCAGAGAAAGAAGGCCTTCAATGAAGGAAATAGTTGCTTGGCTTACTGGATTGTGTAAACTGGTACCTCTTCATTCTTGGAATGGTTTTAACAATCCCTGTATGATGATTGAGACTGTGGGACGTCCAATTGAAGCCAGAAGTGCCCATATGACTCCAAGACAAGACGGAGGTTTAGAAGGTGGAAATTTTGAAGCTTTAGATGCTAGATTATCTAAATCTGCAAATAGATATTCAAGGAGAGTGTATTCTGATCTGGGGTTCAGAAGCAACTTGATGGAACTTATGACTAACCCTGAGGAACCAGATAAGTCTGGTTATAGAGTTTCCAGCTCAAGGTTTGGTAGTGGAAGATATTTCACAAGAGGCATAAATCTCTACAGAGCTTGTGGTACAGATAAAGATGCTTTTGGTTTGAGTGAAGGCCAGATTGTTGGTGATGGGAGCTCAAATTTGTGTCCAAAACAAGAAGGTAATTCTGGATCAGATTTGAATTCTCAGACAGCTGAAGCTAATTCCTAGTTGATTGCGGAAAGATCTGGTTGATTTTTTTGGAGTGTTGCTTAGAGTTGTTAGCTTTCCTTGCTTGCACATAACAGCCATATGCAGATTTGTTGGTATGGAAGCTTATTGTTTTGTGGGTTTCAGAAATGACCTATTCATTGTTCATTTGGTATGTTTTGGGATTGAAGGGCACATTGCTGATGTCCCCTTAAGCTGTTCTATAAACCTTGTTAGGTGTTTTTGTTTCTTTTTTCTCTTTTTGTTTTTGGTTTCTTTTTTCTTTGAATCATCAAAAAAAAACAGAACAAAAGGACGTGTTTGAGAACAAGTGCTGCAGAACTGTAAAAATTCATATTTCTGCTTGTTTATGGAATCTCTTGTTTGTAGCCCAAAATTCAAATAAAATTTCAGTAAAGGGATTTATGTGCTCTTACTCGAAGGTTTTTGTTTTTCCTATTGTTGATTATCAATTCATTACTCCATCTTCTGCTGTCCATGGTTATGACAAACTTTTAGGCTTCTTGTGATTCTAGATAAAAAAATTATTACAAAGTAATAACAACAGAATTATTTCATCAAAGAACATAAATTACGCCTAGGTTACATAAAACTCAAACTTGTGACCTAAGCTGAGCTTCATTAATTAAATATAGTGTTAATGGTTTGAACTTTGAATTCATCCTACACTAATCATTTTAAATCTTAAGTCCAAGGAATATTCTTGTTCCAGAATGTCTTAAACTTTGATTGAACTAAAAATAGTTTTTGTTACACGCAAGTCACATCACAAATGTCAACATTACATGTCCATAATTTTATCAAAAAAAAAAAAAAGGAAAGAAAAGAATCTAATGTCTGTAAACTAAAACAAGACTAAACTCTATTTCCCATATAAAAACCTGAATTAGTCATTAATCATCAAGCTTAGATTCCTCACATGATCAGCATAATCCACACAATTCGTCAAACCCCACATGATATGTACATTGGGTTAATTATTGATCAATTTGATGACAGATGGTTTTATTTCAAAACCAGCCAAGTGCTTTCTAATTAACATGAAAAAAGCAAATATTTTTCAGAAAGTGAGGTTTAGAAGAATGGGGCAACCTGGCCATATGATAATGATTTATAATAAGCCCAAAGAGAAAGCGACAAGAGATTTAAGAGCTCCATTTCCACATTAATGGACCCCATTGAGTGGATAGCAAAGTTTGTAATCGTCATGTTGTGTGAGCTAAGAATAATATATTTTCTTTTGCAGTATCAGAGACACTAAGCAAAGCAGAGAAACAATATTATAATGATGAAGTTCGCTTTGGTACACTAAGAAGGAACAGTACAATGCCCTGGTGCTTTGTGTCTGTTTCTTTGTTCTCACGTCACGTGCCAATTTCCTCACATTAGTTTCAAACCCCTGCAAACTGGAAGCTGGAAAGTTGCATATTAGACATTATCTTCGGCTTTTTTCTTTTCAAATAATAAATTATATAACACATAAAAAAGAAAAAAAATTTATCACCAAACTTCTTAATCGATTAATCATTATGTAAAGTGAGGTTAATTAACACTTCATCTGTTGTTTATAAGATCCAAATAATCAAATTGTATGATTTAAAAAAATTGTTAAAATTAGTTAAAAATAATAAACACATAAAAATATTTTTTAATATACTCTTATTTATAAGTGGGTAAATGAGGGGAAATAATGATAAGAAAAATGATAAAAAAGAATGTATGAGAAAAATTAATCAAAGATAAAATTAGTTAAGATGTACTCAATATAACACCTTTTTGGGGCCATCCATAAAACACCAAAGTGGATCTTATAGAAAGGATGGAAGGGGTATAATTTTGCATAATGAGTCCAAGTTAGTTGAAGACAAATCAATTTAAGTCACGTTAATTGATATTATTTTATTTAATTAATAAATTTTAAAAGTTGGCCATTTGGCCTATTAGGCATTAGCTGGCTAATTAACAGGGTCTTCTTAAATGCTAATATGACACAAAGCGAGGTTGGTAACCAATATTTATTCCTCATATTAGACAACCATATCTTTACAATATCATATTATATGTGTTCGCCGAAAAAAAAAAAATCATATTGCATATATTATATAAAAAATATTGTTTATTGGTTTTTCTTATTTCTTTTATTGTGTTAGTTTCATGTTCATCATTGCAAGTCTCAAACCAACCTTTTCATAATGAATCTTAACAGTTACTCAAAATATTACTTCAATTATTTCCATAATAGCAACTTGATTAACTAATATGCGGAAAATCATGTTTAAGTTACATGAAAAAAAATCAATGTTAATTAATCACAGATTGTATCTTCACAAGCCAGGATTTTTTCTTTTAATTAACTAATAATAATTTAGGCATAACATTATCTGAGCTGGACTTTAATTTCATCACCATATGAGTAACCTTTTTCTCCTTTGAAAAGGAAAATAATACATAAGAAGAACAAAATTGACACTTGCTTACCTGAATATATATTCACATAAGTTTTAAACAAGAATTTTACTTGAAAATAAAGGATCAAACATTAAATATTCAAGAGTCTTAAAGAAGCAACCTTGATCCAAAATCAAAATTCGGTTTAAAATGAAATTAAAAAAATCAGAGCCTTTTTTCTTTAGAATATATAGGACCCTTCTAGCTGCAAAAGTTGGTGAAAAAGGTAACAAAACTTTTTCAAGCAAACTTTATTATCCATTTGTTTATTTTTCTTTCTTTGTTACTTTTAATATTTTCTTACCTCACCAATAGGCATAGTTTATCCATAAAAATCAACAATTAGAAGGGTAATGCAAGAGTACTCTTAAATGTTCTTACCCACCACTTTAATAAGAATATTATCACTTAATTTTTTGAACAAACTTTTAAATGAAAAATCATGATAATTTTAATGCATTTTATTTTTTATTCTTATTCCATTTGTATATTAAATATAACACATAATTTATTTTCCTAATTCTTATAGTGGCATTGAATTGGTAAGGTGGATCTAGACCTACCTTTTGGTGAAATGTTCATTCATATAATTTCACCTCTTTTAGGGACCATTTCTCATTATGGTTATATATTTTTTGGTGCATCAACCACCTAATTGGCCTCTTTTCCCCTTCTCTTTTTTTGTGGCATGAAAATTGAGATATATAATACATTTGTTATCATAAATATAACATAAATTGTACAGAGAATCACATTACTCCATGAATTATAAACAATGTTATTCTTCTCAAGTTTTATATAAGTTGTTTTTCTCTTATTCAAATCTTTCTCCACAAATTTTATTGGGTTCCATGTTACCAAGTCCGGTTCTAAATATAAATATTTCATCAGGAGTTATTATATGAGTCCACTGTATTGAATTATATATTTTTTTATTTGATCAAAAGTTTCTCTTTATGAGATTTAGAGAGCAGAGGATTTTTGTCTCTCCCAATAAATATGTTTCCTATTATTTGAACTTGTGTTCTTCTTTTTATAAGGATGAAGTTGCACACCATCTCAACCAACAGTTTGCCGGTAGAATTATATATTTTTTTATTAAGTTTAAAATGATGTTGTTTTGGGTTAAAAAAAATAATAGTGTATCATATTTATACTTTAATAATTATATTATGTTGGATTATATGTAGTTTATACATTAATTACCATTCCATTTGCTTGTATATTAATACATTTTTATTTAAATATTACTATTTTTAGGATTATATATAAGGGTAATTAATCTGTAAGTCCTTGTAATTTTAACCGATTTTGAATCAGGTCTTATAGTTTTATTTCTTTTTATCAGGTTATTATACTTTCACATATTTTTAATTAGGTCTTTGTATTTTTTTTTTATATCAAGTCTTTATAAGTTCACCTTATTTTTAATTAAGTCTCTGAACTTTTTACTCTTTATTTTATGAATTCTAATAATACTATTCTATAATCATAAAATAGTATATATTATTTAATATTAGTTTATAAACAATAATATTATAAAAATAATGAATTATTATAATAATTTTATTTTTTGCTAGCAAGAAAATATTAATTGTTCTAAAAAATTTTCCTGAATTATTTAATTATATTACTTATATTAATTTAATTTCATTATTAATATTTTATATTTCAGTAATATATTTAATTAAGTTTATATTTAATTAATAAATAAAAATTAAAACAATGTGGACCTGATTAAAAATTTAAGAAAATTATAAAGACTTTGTAAAAAAAAAAATGCAAGGACTTAATTAAAAACATGTGAAAGAATAAAGACCTATAAAAATAAAAATAAAAACTATAAAGACCTGATTTAAAATTGATTGAAATTACAAGGATTTGTAGATTAATTAAGTCTATATATAAATATCTTCATATATTTTAATTAGACAACATTACATTAGACATAATTAAATCGACCCTTTTCAGCTATAACTAAACTATTGACCTTGAATCAACCTTCATTGTGCTAATAGTGGTGTAATGGACTTGGTCAAATCATGGGCAACTTGTTCTATTAATCTTATTATTAAAACATTTGACATCTACCAAAACAGGGCAGGATTAGCAATAGTCTACACTTCACCTTCAGAATATTAAATTAATCAATCGATTAATATTAAAAGTAAACAATCTTGACATGACAAGACACCACACGAAAATCCAATGAATGCGCCTAAAAATGCTCTTTCCTTGTTAATTAATTGCCCCAAAGTGGAATAATACATCTTCCAATCCCATCATGCTTTTAGCATTCATAATCTAATAATTAATTAATTAATAAAGCACAATCCAGCGCAAACCCCAAAAACTTTTTGGTTTGTTTGTATGAAAGTCAAATTATAATTTTAAAAATAATTTAATGACATATGAGTAAGTAGGTATGTTGAACGATTTTATCTTGATGTATATAAAAATATTTTTTTAAAATGTTTTTAAAGTAAACGAAACACATGCTTAAGAGCTTTATATGAACTCGTTTGATTGTGGGAAACAAATTCAACAGGATAATAGGAAAAGAAAGAAGAACTTCAAGAAGTTTCAGTTGTCGCATAAACAAATGTGATATTGTTTAATGCTTTTCTAATTCTAAATATAAGATCCTTTTTATAGTGTAAATTATACTACAAAAAGGATCTTATATTTAAGATCGGAAGAATATTCTTAATTATATTTAAATGGAGTAATTTGGTTAGAAGTTAATTAAAAATACTCTCTATAAGCCTATTATTTTCTTTCAAAATTTAAGAAAAATGAGGTAAAACTAATTAAATGTCAATTTAATTTTTTCATTCTTCCAAAACAACTCATTTATTTGGTGGAGAGATATAAGGAAGACAAAAAGTCACTGTTTACCAACAAGATTGAGTTTAATAGAAAAAACTAATTCTTCACGGCGTAATGAATTAAGATTCAAATTCTCACTAAGAA